TCATATCATTCTTGGCTATATTTAACTTAGTCCTCTAGTGAGTAATCTAGGATCAGTGGAGTAGGTGGCAGTCGACTGGTGTCCGTTTTCAGCGAAGTGCTTTTGGTTTCTTTGCCTGTGCCTGACTTTAGCATGCCATTTAACGTTATTTGTTTTGTATCTACGGCCATCGCTATGTTGTTTGGTCCAATTCATTCGTTGACTACAAAAATGTTAGCGGCTAAGTCTTTATTTACAGTATTCTGGGAAAAAAGATTCACCGTGACTTTTCATCAACCTTTTATTTCAGATTAATTCCAGTCGACGAGGCCGACAAAGATCTGGTTTCAAAACCTCTTTTCACAGCCTTAATTCTTAAGTTATGGAATTTAGTCAAAGTTTGCATCGCCAGACTTAGGGACTTCAAAAATCGAAAGAAAGTTGCCTAATACCAGCAAATGGGCATTACAAAGCATGCTGCTGGTTACGTTTTGATGGAACTGTTTTGCGACGTATTGGAATGGTGTAAAAACTAGAAGTTACTGAAAGGATTATGTTGTCGTGTGGTTTTTGCTTTCTCTCGACTTTTTTATTGCTAGAAGAGTTTGCTATTTATAAAATGTAGACCGCTGAGGTCCTTTACCGTGTAGATCTTGAAGAATTACTACGCGTACTTTTCTCCTCTATTTTGATCATTTTACTTCCATTAGTTCTTAGTCGGAATAGTGATAATTATCTCCATTTCTTCAATTTTATCGTGTACAGTTTAAACGGATTATTTGTGTTTTATTTAGTTTTTATCGTTCCAGTTCAGAATTCGTAGTTTTTTTGATTGCTGGAAGAAGGCGACAGACTTAATCAATTTATCCAAATGATAATTTCTTCCATTCAGTAACAAATTATTACTACTGAAAGTAAAACTGTGAGTGTCTTAAATTCAGGCCTTCACTTCCAGATTTGGAGTTATGGTAATGTTCATTTTGCCGTATCTAGTCTGTCGTCCATTATTAAGTCCTGAGTATGGGTTGTTTTTGACAGGTTGTGAGATTCAATCATTAGTCTCAAAGTTCTTTTCGCATCGTATGCTTTGTGAGTATATTGTATTTCCTCCTGTAATTGTTGATGGTGGAAGTGGTTGTTTGTTATGTTTTTATCCTTTTTTTTTCACTTTATTGCGTTCGATTCTGACTTCTGTTTTGATGTAAATCTGAGTCGACAAGAAAATTGCTGAAACATTTATAGCAGTTTTAGTTTCAAGCTGCATAGTGGTCTAATCCAAAATAAAGTATAGAAAATCCGGGTAATTATTTTATATGTTATTCAGGCTTTTCAAGTGTTCCACTGTTGCGTGACTTTTAGATGTCACTACCCGGCGGTGGAAGTTTAGAGAGTTATAAAAAAAAGGATGACGAGGCAGGTTCAGGTGAGGTAATATTGATGTGCCGCATACTGATGTTGGTTCATAAGTGTTTTTCAGAATATTAGAGGTGCTGGTAAACTATGTAGGGTTATGTTGATGGTTTCTTTAAAGTGGTCAAGGGATGAGTGGATTTCTAGGCTTAGGTTTGATAAAACTAGTTTAGCTTGTGAGGTGTCCCCGTGCTGCTGCCTGATAGTTGTACTTGAATACCGGTTTAGGCGAAATTGTTTTGGAGAGCGATGATGAAAGCATTGATAGGTCAAAGCCGTCGACAGCGGATTTGCAAAAGTGGCAATTTTTGTTAAAGCCAAAAGTAAGTCCCAAATGTAGTTCTCTGTCGCAGCAGAAGAAGAGGAAAGGGAACGATTCAGCAGTGAGGTCTGATGAAATGAAACAGGGATCTAGACAAAGTCTTGATCCTACAACTTCGAACAGATTAGCAGGCGAAGGTTAGTTGTAGGCTATGAACGATGAAGTGACGAGTAATTTCAGCACAAACGAACTGAAAACTGTAAATTTAAGTTCTGCAGTCAACTGGGGATTTTGGTACTTCGGAAGGAGATGTAGGTCTTGGGACGGCGAAAAAAACGATCAAGAACGAAGAGTTAGCTATGGAAGCGGAACGAGTGTTGAACGAAGTATTTGGTCACAAAAAATACAAAACTCGATCACAGAAAGAGGCTATAGCAGCAGTACTCAAAAGTAAGTCTAAATGAAGGATTTTTATTTTGTTTTTTTAAAGCTCCCTTCGGTAGTTCCGTTTTTACCTATTTCTTGCACTCATTTTTTTTTTCTAGAAAGATGGGACATATTTATATGTTTTCCTACTGGAGCGGGGAAGTCTCTTTGCTATCAGGTAATCGTTATGCTTATCACTGCAAGAACCGGTTAAATATATCTTAAATTTAAAGTAACGAGAAAATAACCATTTTTTTTAATAACCTCAAAGTTTTAAAGCATCTTTTGCTTAAAATCTTCAAAGGTACTGTTGTTCAGTTACCTGCGGTTGTTTATACCGGAGTTACTGTGGTTTTTTCACCGCTTATCGCCCTCATTCAAGATCAGCTATTAGCGTGCAGGGAGAAGGGTATACGTTGTGAGTCGTTAAATTCCAAGTGCACAGCTGCGAGCCGAACTGCTATTATTGAGGTTCTTGATTATTTGTCGGGAATCGTTAGATTAAGATGCTTTAGGCTTGTTTCATATTACCTGAATGTAATGAGGCAGGTTTAATTTAAGGATTTGAGATCATTGTCTCCAAAAACACAAATCCTGTACTTGACACCTGAATCTGCTGCCACTTCCAATACTCAGCGCATCATCAGCAGTCTCTATAAACGTGGACTACTTAATTTTTTCGTGGTCGATGAGGCGCACTGCGTCAGTCACTGGGGACATGACTTTCGTCCAGATTACTTGAAATTATACAAGCTCCGGGAACTGGCTCCTGAGGCCAGCAGTTATGCTATTTTTTGACCTTTACTATTGTCGGCATTATAAGAATTTGGTTATAGATATGAGTCGCCTTATATCAAGTGTCGAATTATTAAGAACTGCTATTTCCAGTGAAATGCTCATTCTTATAGATTACTTCATTTAGGTTCGCTGGATTGCATTAACCGCAACAGCA